ATTAGCCATTGAAATGACATTGGGATTCTCTTTGGCCTATCGAAGGGAAAGAAAAATGAATTCGCTTGCGCCTTTTGTTTTCGAGATCTTTTTTTGCCTTCTTCAACACTTAGTCTTGTAGCCAGTGCTGCAAAATCTCGACAGTACACGGTGATATTGACAATTCTGCTTTGGTCACTCATTGGAGCCAGCAGTCATAGTCAAGGCAAACCATGTCAATTGTCAATGACAATGCTGTCAGTGACGAACATGTGCAGATTTATTTATTAGCTAAATTTGTAACTAAATTAAATGACTTGAGCAAAACAATAACATGGATCCATTTTAGTGAATAAGTATCTACGTCCTGAGCTATTTGGATAACAATAATGTGACACAGAATGTACAAAATTACACTTTTTGTTACCAGGTGAATCTTTGTCATTGACGAAAAAATGAATGAGATTTTGACGAAGGTTTTTTTGAGGATCAAGTCTGTCAGTGACAGCTAGCTGCCTGTTGTTCCAGACCAGGGGGCTGGCAATCCTATATCAATCCTATACGTTAGACAGTAGGCAACATCTCGGGCCTTATTTAAATACGGCCCGCCTGACGTATGCATGGTGGAAAGGGACGAAAAATCGTGTTATAAGCAGAAAGACAAGAGCAGATGATAGCATCAAAAACATGGCCGCTAGCCAGGCCCCTGTTCCAGACCTTGTATGATTGCCATCGGTCAATCCTGTCGTTAAATCAAACTTCACGGCAAATGAAACTGACTCATATTTGAGTACCGTTCACTCAAAATCGCAATAGCGTACACACTTATAAATTATCGTCGACTTCGGTAATTTTTACCGAAATCTGAACAGTTGAACTTTTCTGTAAAATTTATGCAATCCAATTCAATTGCTTTTCAGTTACTTTGAAACTAAATCAACGGACACGAATTGGATCATGGAATGTATTGACGTTAGCCCAGCAGGGTAACTGGCACAACTCGCCAACGAGGCGCGACGCATGAAGCTAGAAATCCTGGGACTGAGTGAAGTTCGTTGGCCAAATTTTGGAGAACACAAACTGCCGTCGGGACAGGTACTACTATACTCTGGTATTCGAGGTGAAAACGTTCCCCGCCATCGTGGAGTTGGTCTCCTACTTAGCGTCCAGGCAAGTGCTGCGCTCATCAAGTGGGAGCCTTTTAATGAGAGGATAATCGTTGCCAGATTTAGAACACAGGTTCGTAACCTTACCATAATCCAATGTTATGCGCCAACCGATGCTGCCGAGCTACAGGACAAAGAGAATTTTTACAGTCAACTGAATGCCGTCGTGGATAAGGTTCCATCTACACTGGCGACTTCAATGCGAAGATCGGCTCCGACAACACGGACTATGAGCGTGTCATGGGACGCCATGGTCTCGGCGAAATGAGCGAGAACGGTGAGCTGTTAGCAGAATTTTGTGGCAATAACGACATGGTGATCGGGGGCTCGCTCTTCCGCCATCGACCAGTGCACAAAGTCAAGTGGGTTTCCCGTGATGGACATACCGAGAATCAGATCGACCACATCTGCATCAGCCGAAAATGGAGACGGAGCCTTCTTGATGTCCGGAATAAACGCAGCGCCGACATCGCGTCTGACCATCACCTTCACCGGACCCAGCGACGGGAGGAGAGACTCGGGCGGCGGTTCAACACACGCCGACTTGAAGATCCAGAGGAAAGAGTGGATCACAGATGAAACCTGGCGGAAGATTGAGGAGCGTAGAGAAGCAAAAGCCGCGATAGAGCGGGCGAGAACCAGAGGAGCCAAGAACGAAGCCCGTCAACGGTACTCGGCTCTAGAGAAGGAAGTCAAGCGCTCTTGCAGACGGGACAAGCGAGCGTGGGTGAACTCTCTGGCCGACGAAGGGGAGAAAGCCGCAAACACTGGCGATATACGCCTCCTCTACGATATCTCACGACGCCTGAGTGGAGCAAGGATGAAACCGAGGATGCCAGTGAAGGACACGATTGCTTACAATTGCTTACCTGACCAGCTGAAACACTGGTTTGAGCACTTCGAACAACTTCTTCAAGTTTCGACGGCCAACCAGCCATCAACATCTCGGCATGATCCGCCTAGGGTGCGGCGCATCACTCGCGTCAATTCCGAGGCCCCATCACTGCAGGAGATTGAAGCAGCTATCCGAAGCATGAAATCCAACAGGCTCCAAGGGTCGATCGCATATCAGCAGAGATGCTCAAAACTGACCCCATGCTATCCGCACAAATGTTGCATCAACTATTCTGTAATATCTGGGACAACGCGACTTTTCCGGCCGACTGGATGCAGGGCATCTTAGTGAAGGTCCTAAAGAAGGGGGATCTGACTGTGTGCGATAATTGGCGAGGCATCATGTTACTGTGTATTGTTCTCAAAGTTCTGTGCAAAGTTATCCTGAATCGGATACAGGAGAAGATCGACGCGACTCTCCGACGGCAGCAGATAGGATTCCGTGCCGGAAGATCTTGTGTGGACCATATTGTCACGCTCCGCATCATCCTGGAGCAGGTCAATGAATTCCAAGAGTCCCTTTATTTGGTATTCATTGACTTCGAAAAAGCTTTCGACCGTCTCAATCACGAGAATCTGTGGGGCGCCCTGAGACGCAAGGGAGTCCCGGATAAAATCGTCAACCTCATCGAAGCGCAGTATGAGGCTTTCACGTGCAGAGTTCTGCATAACGGAGCCTTGTCCGACCCTATCCGGGTAGTCGCTGGTGTGAGACAAGGATGTATACTATCACCGCTACTGTTTCTCATCGTAATCGACGAGATCATGGTAGGTGCAATTGACCGTGTACCGAACCGTGGAGCATCTCAACGACTTCGATTTGGCTGATGATGTTGCTCTACTAGCACAACGGCGCTCTGATATGCAGAGTAAGCTCAATGACCTAGCCGAACGCTCCTCTGCGGCGGGTCTCACCATCAACGTCAACAAGACCAAATCGTTGGATATCAACACGGGCAACCCTTCCAACTTTACGGTAGCGGGGCAAGCAGTGGAGAAGGTCGAAAGTTTCCAATATTTTGGCAGCCAAATAGCGTCGGACTGCGGGACCAAGAGCGACATAGGTGCACGAATCAAGAAGGCTAGGGCTGCCTTTGCGAGTTTACGAAACGTATCTGTACCAGATAAGTCAACGCACCAAAATCCGAATTTTCAACTCGAACGTGAAATCTGTGTTGTTATACGCCAGCGAGACGTGGCGTGTATCAGCGGAGAACACTCAAAAGCTGCAGGTCTTTATCAACCGATGCCTGCTGTATATAATTCGTACCTGGTGGCCTCACAACTGGATCTCGAATGCCGAGTTCCATCGTCGATGTCATCAGAAGCCGATAGCAACAGAAATTCGAGAGCGAAAGTGGAGGTGGGGCGGCCACACACTTCGACGGGGCGGAAACGAAATCTGCAAGCAAGCGCTGGATTGGAATCCGGCAGGACATCGCAGCAGAGGCAGACCCAGGGGCTCATGGCGGCGGAGCCTCAATAAGGAAATTAAGCAAGTCGATAGGAATCTGACCTGGGCCCAGGTCAAGGCAAAAGCGAGCAGCCGCCCAGGATGGAAGTCTTTCACGTTTGCCCTTTGCACCGCTGGTGGTGCACAGGACCCTTAAGTAAGTATACATGGCCATTAGACTGATGCAAAATTTAAAATTTTCGCTCCACAATGCTCAAACGGTTCCAAATTGGGCCCTGATTATCCTCACAAAATTTAACCTCATTTAGTGAGAAACTGACTTGGCACAAACCATTTGAAGTTTATATGGAAATTACTATGGAGAAACCATAATTTCGGTTCATATCTATCTCAAAATTCACCTGTTCACTCTACTTTAGAAAATGATAGCTGAGCTTGTTGAAAATTCAACTCAGCTACAACTTTGTTGAAGACCACTTTTCGATCAAATGTAAGGAACAAAAATTATTATTGATTCAAGTCACTGATGTCTTATGATTATGCTCCATCAACTGTTCAGCAGGCCACATTGGTGTTTATGGCGCGTAGAATAGAGGACAAAAATCATGGCTACTATGTCACACTGCAGAATACAGTGTTGTCCACAATACAGTTGCTTAATCTTGCCATAAGATTATCAATCTCTTAAACAATTAATAACTATTTAATTTGACGTTTGGCTGAAAATTTTCTGCAAAGTTGTAGCTGATAAAAAATCCCATAAGATTAGCGATAGAATTTGTTAACAGTACAATATGTAAAAAGGCTAGAAGACAATGAACAGAAAGCTTTGTTTTCCCATAGTAATTTCCATATAAACTTCAAATGGTTTGTGCCAAGTCAGTTTCTTATCAAATGAGTTTAAACTTTCGGAGGCTAATCAGGACCCGATTTGAAACCGTTTGTGGAGCGAAAATTTCAAATTTTGCATCAGTCTAATAGCCGTGGGGATGCAATGATCAAATCTACAAAGGGAATCGGTCAAGGTTACTTAGGATTACTATTACAGTTCGTTGTATGTGTAGTCGTGAGATGATCTATTTGGCTTTTATGTTGATTCTAAAAGTATCGTGTTATCTGGATCAACCGGAAAGAAAGCACTGTCTCTTTCTTCCTCATAAGTTCTTACGCAGGAAATGAAAGTGACGTCAACTACGTATGAATGATAAAGAGTGAAAAAGAAGCACGATTTCACATGCCGAACCTTTGTAGATCGAGGCTCACCTTCGATAAGACGAAGTTGCATCCATTTTCAAGTAATTTAGACCGAAATTTCATCCACGTACCTGGAAAGTTTTCATGATGTGTTTTACAATTTCCATAGTCCTGCCTAATTAATATCGAAAATTAAGAATATCGCAACTTGCATGTTGCATTAAGAATATCGAAACTGGCATTGCAAAAATCTTGGTGTACAATTTTGCAAAACGATTGGAAGATTATCTAGAGCGAAGTTTGCAAATAACCTACCACTAATTTAAATCAATATAAAACACATTGAGACAAACCTTATGATACCGGGCTCTGGAAGAGCCTTCCGAAATGATACCGCAAATGCTGCACTCGATCGGGTGATGAGATTGTAAGATGTGATAACGTAAATTTCTTGCAGTGGCACACTCTTTGTCACAGTGCAAGCACTTTGTGCCAGACAGGGTGTCGGATGATCCACTTGGGGGATTTTCGACCAGTATGTCCTTCTTGGCCGCATCCGCAGCAACATTCGAGCTAGAGGATGAATTCAAACTGGAGGCTAAGATTTTACGACCAGAACGTGTAGTTGATTTTTCAGCCGAACTCTTCTCGTTCTTGGAAACTCCTTTACGACGATGACAATTTATCATATGCCAGGTCAGGTTTTTTGAAAATTGAAACTTCATTGGACACAATTTACATGAAAACTTTTTCATCTGACATATTCGAAAGTGTGCTTGATATTCTTTTTTCGGTAATATTTTCCGGCAATTGCGACATTTTTGCAGCTTTCCTTCCGTGCACGCGTATTTTGCCCTCTGTTTTTGGCGGTAAAGAAAGTATAGCTCAGAAAAAAATACGCTAGACGTTCGCTAATTGCAAGACTTTTAACTGAAAGTCCGCTAAAGAATGTTCTGCTGCATTTGAATTGCATTTGACAGCTAGTAACTCATAAAATTCAGGTTGAGTTAGCAAATGGCTTTCGCTTGGTGCAACGTTAACATGTTGCAGTTAGTGAACGATTACTTTAATAGGAGAATGTCAACATACATACCTTATGACGAAGAAGTAAACCTTTCAATGAAAATGTCATTCCACAAATATCACAAGCAAATTGTGACGGCACATCCTTGCTTTTGGCCGAATCCATTGCATTTGCATTACTGTCCTGCTCTTCCCGCGACAATTCCATAGGTTCAGCATCAGAAGTCATATCTTCATCATCAAAACGAACTGGTTCCTCTTTCAGGGAATTTAAGTCCACAGCTACCGTTTTATCCCTGGCCTCACAATGGCTCACAGCATGATCATTCTTAAGCTTTTCGGATCGGAAGTTTTCCCCACAGTCAGAACACTGCAGAAAGAAGCCATCGTGGACGTCCTACAATACGATCCAATTATATTATATATTGTCATTTGTATTGAAATCCATCACTTACATGGACGTGCTTCCAGTAGGAACTCTCCGAATAACCACGTTGGTCATTGCACAGAACGCATTGATGCAATGCGTCTTTTGCCGATATCGTATTTTCCTCTGCTGTGATTTCCATTTGCAGATCATTGTTCTGGAATCGTTTTTGATCTTGGATGATCTGTAGATTTTCCAAACTGCTCTCACCTGGATGAAAGCGCTTAGTATGGAGATAGATTGCGTGGGATCGTTTGAACGTGGTTCCACATATTTTACATGAATATGTCTTCTGCTGACACCCAACACTATGTTCAAGATATTTGATTTTGTGGTGGAATTTCCTCTCGCAAATGTGACACTCGTACTTTGGTTCCGTGTGGCACTTTATCTGCATTGAAAAATTAAGACTGTATAACAATATGTAAAGGATACAGCAGCAATCAGGCTTTGCAAGAAACAATTTGAAATTTGTGCAACCAAGCCTGATGGCAATTGAGAAAAGTGAGTGCAACAAACCTTATGATTTTTGGATGCTGATATACCAAGAATAGTTATACCGCAGATATTACATTTGGTCAGCTCATGGCGAATTTGCAAGTGATGAATCAAATGTCCTGGACTGGAAAACTCTTCGTTACAGTAGTCACATTTTGTTTGGGATAAGCCGCTTTTAACATGAGGTGGTGTCTTAGTATTCTTCAACCCTTTTTTCTTGCTTTTTACATATTTAAGTTTGCTCCAATGTCGTTTGACAGCAGTTTCATCAGTATACATTTTACCACAACACTCACAGGGAACTGTCCTTTTCTCACATATAGATACATGAGTGTTTAAGCGGATTGTCACGCAAAACTGCATCAAACAATGTGGGCATTTCATCTTCGACTGCTTGTGCTGCGTCTCCTGTATTGAATGGAAAAGACAGTACATTAGAGTATAGACCAATTTAAGAACATTCAAAACTAAGTTTACACACCTTATGATGCAGAGCCAGGGATAGACTGGGAAAAGTAATTCCACAGAGATCACATGCCACTGGCTCATGGTGGATTAAAATGTGACGAGCTAGGGTATCGGCACTGGTCTCTTCTATTCCACAGTGGGAACATTTCGTACAGGATGTTTCATTCGAAGAATTCTCTACCACCACTTTTTGGTCACTCTTGTCATTCACGATAGGTTCACTAAAACTTTCGAGATTCGAGAAGTCACTCAGTCGATTACTGAGTTCTGCATTTTCGTTACTGCTCTGATTTTGGAGCGATGGCTTCAAATGCTCAGAATATGAAATATGTTCTACTTCCATAGACTCTAGTTTCGTTTCCAGGGCATTCAAGTTTGAAGCTTCAATTTGATCCCTGGTCTTACATTGATGATCATTCTTAAGCTTTTCGGAGCGGAAGTTTTCTCCACAATCAGAACACCGCAGAAAGAAGCCATCGTGAACGTCCTGTAATACGATCCAATTATTCCACATGCTATCGTGGAGCCCCGTTAATCTGAACGACACTTAATTTTTATTAACGTGATAAATTTTTAATTTGAACTTCTAGCAATCCTATGAGCATAAGAAAATCGTGTTTCTAGTAGCCTTATTCGCTGTTTTGTTTTGATTCTACGTTTTGCTTCACAATGTTCCATTTCACTTTGCTCCGTCCCATGAGCTAATTGACGTTTGAGCCGTTTTTAGTTAGCACGGCGTGCAAATTAGCGAGGTTCAAATTATAAAATGTTCAGATTAAAACAATCAATACGAAACTAACGATTTTGAATTGGCTCACTACTTGACTAGCCTATTGGTCCCAAGCAAATCGATTAACGTACCCCATTCTAGTTGAAATTCTAGTACTACACAATGTTTGTTTTGATTCGCTATGAAAGTTTGGCAGATAAAATGAGGGGTTCGTGGATTTTCCTATGTTTCGAGGGGTGCATAGATTAGCTTGGGACCGAAGAGAGTACCAGAGCTGAGCCAAAAATTTGAGCACATTTCTTCGGGACCTTCTGGTCTTAGAGTTACCTATATAGTAGGGTTAAATACCCCATTTCAAGCCTATTAAGGTGCAAATCAGATTGGATTTAGTCTTTGTATGTATAAGTATGCAATAATGATTTGAACGTTTGTATTGGTTTTGGTACAGGAATACCAATACATATAGTACATTAGTGTTTATCTTTGTAAAGGGGGGAAGTATTGTAATTTTGCAGTTTTAAGTTTAACTATAAGATTTTCTAAAAAATTCATGGCGATTGTAAAATTCAGATTCAAATAAATTCATACATGTAAGGAGTCATGTACTTATTACGTAAGGGTTTATCGGGGGAATTGAGTTAAGCATTTTCTTATTTTTCGAAATTGCGTTATTTACTTATTTTTTTCTGTCGATCTTGTTTTCCGTACTGAGTACCAATGCAGGGCTGGTAGTGAGTATGTGATTCAATAGTAGTGACTTTAGTGACTAAAATAACGAAAATAGTGACTAAATAGTGACTTTTAAACAATAAAAAAGTGACCAATAGTGACAATGATTGATCAGAAAGACATGGTTTCAATCTTCTGTTGATTGCGATTGCCACTTCGAGAAATTTTATAAACTCACAAAACAATGATGCGCATTTTTCATGTTTCTAAAAAATAAAACAAACGGTTTAAGGATCCCATTGTTCTCAAAAAATAAGTATGAAGTGAATAAGCTTTTTTTTAAACAAACTATTTACTAAGTTGATATTAGATCCAAATCACACATTGATGATTAGATCGCAAAATTGAGGAATAGAGAAAAATGTTCAAATTCAAAGATTTAGCCAAATTTTGACAATTTTAGCACAGTCAATTTTAAATATCTAGGACGAAGATCGCAGTTTAAAAAACATCTCATTATTATGGAGCGAAGAAAATTATACCAGATGGAAAGATCACGGACATAAAACAAAATTCGAATGTTTCGCGATCTAATCTAATCTAATCTGATACAAACGCAGCCAGTTCGAGAAAGCATCCTGGAAAATGATTAGATTAGACGAGGTCTAATAATTTTTCTTGTCTAATTGATGTTTGCAGCATATCTGAGATATGATATAAACATCAATACGGCCAGGCCTACTGCGTTGTATTTACCGCAAAGATGATTCTTGGAAATGAATGGGAACATTTCTTGAATCTACAGGGGTTGAAGGATGCGTGGACATACCGTACCAAACGCTCCGAGTTACTATGTGTAGTTGTGTTTAATGTGTAAATATTCGTGCAATATTGAAGAATCATAAAATAATGCAGTGGAAGGATCTTACCGAATAAAATTTGAATGTGTCTCGATCGTGACAAATTAGAGATTTAGGGATGCATTTTAGAGTTTTGGACCATTTTTTTTTAATGCTGGGCTTAAAAATTCAAGATCTCTAAGACAACCAAATTGAGAAAATGGTAAGGCCTGAAATAATTTACTATATTTTGTACATATGTATAGAAAGTAAGTCAACAGTCCTTGAACAATTGAAAGGCTTCTGAAACATAGAAAATATGTTATGATCATGGACATATTTCGTTTTTCTAAAACCTGGACCTGGAAAATTGTTTTCGTAAAACCGGATTATTAGTACGAAAAAATGCAATACAATTTAATGGCCTTAAAAAGGAACTCCTGATTCTGTGACATGATTTTTTCTCGGTGTTTGGACAAATGCTTAAGCTACCAGGTGTTAGACATTATTCAAATTTCTGACCTTTGAAAAAATTTCGAGAGCTTGAACACTTTTCTAGACTACTTTTTGACATTTTAGGCTTGGAACACTTGCAAGATCTTGAAGGAAAATAGTCAGGCTATTGGGTCTAGAAATTTTTTTCGAAAGCTCTGACATTTTGTAATAGGTCTATCACCAATTCGAGTTAAGAAAAAAATCAAAATATTAGTGATTTCGTCAACATCAATTTTACAGTTATCATTTCCGTCTGTTCGCAACTTTTCTTGTCCATCAGAATTTACACTGATTTTTAATAAATCTCTCTAACACACATTTGTTAACAAATGAATCTGTGATTTGATGTGAGTTTTAAAGTATTCTTTTTTTACTCTCAACATTGGTCGTAAAAAGTGATTTTAGTGACTAAATTTTAAGGAATAGTGACTTTAGTGACCTTTTGATGAAAAAAATGACTTTTTAGTGACTGGCTTTTAAATAGTGACCAAGTCACTAAAAAGTGTCCTGCTACCAGCCCTGCCAATACTACCAACCGCTTCCACAGCTGGACACTACCTATCGACCCATCAACTCATGGCCCGGGAACCAACGGCTTTACTTTCCTTCCGGCTATAGAAGACTGTGGCGTGGGGGGGGGGTCTGGAAATCTAACTCATGACCATCCACTTGAGAAGCAAACGTGTAGCCAACTACGCCACGGGAACTTCCTCTGTGTACTTATATCTCGGATTTGTTAAAGAAAAAAGGGTTGAAAAAACTTAAAATAGTGTTGTTGGCATTTTTGTGTGTATAAGCTTGTTCAATATGTGATTTTAAGATAATATTTACTCTTTATTTCAAAATCACTGAGATTGCATCTTATCCGTCCATAAAGTTTATTCGGAAGTTTTTTATCCTTCCTCGACATTTGCATCTTTAAACTTGAAAAAACATTCAAATTCACTGCCCTCACTATTGACGGAATATGCTGAATCTGATTCAGAAAGAAAGTTCAGGATCTCTTCAAACTCCTCATCGCTTTCCGGTTCCGGTTCTGGATTATACATCGCCACGCTTTCTCATACTGGATTCCTGTGTTTACGCTTTAAAGCTTCGCATTTTAAAACCGCCTTTTTTGCCTTCGTTAAATGCGGCATTTTTATCTCTGATTCAAAAACTGCGCCCAGAACACGAAGAAGTTACGCACGAATTGAGCATAATTTTTACATGCATTAGTCAGCTGGCAGTGCTGCCAAAAGCAAGTTTAGTATTGAGTCATAATTTCTGTTAGTACTCGACATTATCATTTACGAAGTAGAAATGCATTATTACGCATAATAAGCTATCGCAATCAATATTTCTTTCAATTTTAACGCAATCCTCACACAACATTAATTTGAGAATTGATGTTTTATTTTGAATTCGGTGAAATGATTCTAGCAACCTTGTGAATCAGCCCGAATGAAAATAAACACACACACCCTCTGAGACTGTGCCAACAATACAGGACTGGTCATGTGTATTTTTTTGTCCCTTTCTCACTGTTGTTTGGCAATGATGATGACGTATAACATTTTGCATTTTAAGAGTGCGAGAGTAAAAGAAACAACAAGCCTGACTGCCAGACCAATGCATAGAGAATTAAACAACAGGAAAGTGCTAGTACGGCGCCGGGGGGAAGCGATCGACGTTTCCAAATTTTTGTAAAGTTCGTTTTATGAAGTTTTCGCGATTTTGTGCTCGTCACCGCGGATTTTTTTAACGTTTTATTTATAGTTGAATCATAGACCAACAACGTGAAGCCGTGTATAAGAACGGAAAGTGTTGTGAAACATAAAAAAATGAGCAATGAACCAAACCATTGCTTTTTTGGAGTGTGTTAGTGTAGTGTAGTGAGAGGGTGTGCGTTGGCGGCTCAAAATAAAATGATGGCGCGCCTCAATTGAAATGGGCAGTTTTTTTTATCGAAAAAGGTTAAAACCCAGATTGATGTGAGCGGTATACCAAGGTAGGTGTTTTAAGTTTTTGTTAATGGTATTCCCAATTTTCGCTGTGCAGCGGATCCACGTAAAATTGGATAATGACAGTAGTGTCTCTCAAACACACACACACTCGCAAGTATGAGTTTGTATGTAGTTGAATTTTTTGAACTGATTTCCACCTTAAGCACAACCCGCACTTAATCTTTCTTAATCTGGCACAGTTTAGCACCAAACGGAATGTTATTATTACTGATGGCTTCCAAATTTATTTACCTTTCTGTACGTACGGTAAGATTTGATAAAGAGAAACCAATCGTTGAGATATTGTCCAAAGTCTAACACTGCTTCTTGATGCCAAACTCGGCCTACGGATTCTAAACTCGGCCTAACACATTGAAACGCCATTGAAACGCCAATGAATTCACTTCGGCCTATCGGATGAAGATAAAAATTGATTCGGTCGGAGCGCTTCTTTTGTTTTTGTGAATTATGGGTGCAAACCTTCATATCACGCGTTCTTATTAACTTCGCTCGGTAGCTTATTAACTAAAGTATCGTACCAAACGCAAAATTGACTTGTTAACTCTGAAATCATGGCTTTATTTGAAGTTTTCTGCTCGATAGGCCCAAAATGGGCGATTAGGCCGAAGTAGTTCGCTACCCTATTACTTATGAATACCAGAGTTGATAATAGAAGAGTTACGCAGAGTGAAGCTTGCAACACTGATGTCGATCAAATGGGTTTTTTTTCATTTTCGCTACCTTGGTTACCTCCGATGGCTTCACCTGAGTTGTGAAAGTTTTCTCTAGTTTCGATAACAATACTTCCCACGGAACAGAGTCACTTTGTCTACTATGCTCGATAGTAGAAATACTGAGACTGTGAACCATTTGCCGAGTTAAATTTAACTCGTAGTTAAAAGTGACATTTCGAAAGTTATTTCTTATGTTCGAAAATCCCCGTGCTGTCGATCGACCGGTTTTTGAGCCACAGTCGTCAAAATTTAACTTCTTGTCTGTCAGAAATAACCACGCTTGGATAGCCGGGTTAATCGATAACTTTCCATCTGTCAAATTTTAACCAAAAGTTAAAATAATCCATCAAATGATTCAGAGCCTCAGAGGGAGAGATGTCTGTCAAAATCTGAGCCAATCGAACATTCCCATTAGATTTTTTCCGAAGATTTCTTATTCTTACTAGATTAAATTTGAGAGTATTGCAATCGAACAGAAATTCAATCACCTCTATGTTTCATGTGCTTAAATTCAACTAGTTTTTGAAATAAAAAAAAACACAATATTCTAACTCTATTGATCAATTAATTTTAGTTGGTTAATTAATGGCACCAAGAAAAGTGCAAAATATTGCAATTATTATTTTGCCCGTAAATCGAATCAAAAGTAAAAGTCATGTGAAATGCTAGCTTCTAGCAAGGGTTGCAAGATAATTTAGGTACAAATCCCTGCTGCCGAATTGTATTTTGTTTTCTCCGTCCAACTCTCCCTGATGTGAGTATTTCTACTCGATAGGTGGATGGTTCGACAGTTTGATAGGTAGGTTTTGGTTTCAGCCTGCGTAACTCTTCTATTATCAATTCTGATGCATACCGTTGACCCCCGGTAATGTGACCGTTTTTAATCTGAACACTTTTTAATTTGAACGCCATGTAAACTAAAAATTGCTTAAACGCCATTCAGTATATGGAATGGAGTAAAGCGAAATAGAACATTGCGAATCGGAACGCAGAATCAAAACAAAACAGCAAATAACGCTACCAGAAACACACTTTTCTGATGCTCATATATGATTGCTTAAAGTTCAAATTAAAAATGAACATCGTTAATTTGCACGAAGTGTCGTTTAAATTAACTTTGGTCCACGATATATCGTCATTTACAATGAAATCCATCACTTACATGAACGTGCTTCCAGTAGGAACTCTCCGAATAAGCACGTTGGTCATTGCACAGAACGCATTGATGCAATTTGTGTTTTGCTTTAATTTCCTGATAGTGCGATTCCTTACTTTCATCTGCAATCTTTTGACGAAAACATCATATTAATATGGATTAGCTGTATACCATAATTGATTTCACCTTACCTCATGCAGGTCCAGATGATTCCACAGCCCTTCCTTGCTCACATAGTCCCCGTGGCATAAGGAGCATCGGAACATCAACCGTAGTACACACATCTTCCGATGCAGCTCCAAATCGCCCTCCTTGTAATCCTCAAGACAGATTTCACATTCGACCATTTTGGCTGGATATCTAACAGGCTTAACTCTACGGTTGCACAGTTGCAATGTTTTCGTTAGAGAAACACTACTTAGAAATTAAATGAAAGAAGTTGAACCGAACCGAACCGAGGAACTTAAATGAATCACAATTTTACAGCGTTTAGTTCAGATTGTTTAGACGATTTAGAAGAATAATCTGCACTGCCATTCTGCAACACTTCATCAACTAAAAAATAAACTTCAAAACATTCAGCATGCATACACTTTTACACGATTATTTTGTATCACTCACACGAGAGTTGATAATAGAAGAGTTACGCAGACTGAAAGCAAAATCTGCCATTCTTGAAAATCGGTCGGTGTATATGTGAAATTCACAAATAATTCTACGGCCAGTTTTGAAGCTTTTTAACACGATTGTGCCGTTGGTGCTAGGGCCAGGCTTATGTTGAAGATGGTGTGAATAGATTTATTTAATTGTTTGTATCCACGCACACAGCTTTGTTTAAACAAAAAATCAAGCAGGTCTTTGAAGTTTGTGTATATTTCGATCAGTGTTGGTAAAATCATCAATCAAATAATAAATATTTTTCCGCTCTCATACGCTCTCAATATCACGCGTGATATTGGAACAAAATATCATGCTTGATATTGATTTTACAAGCTCCTTTGATATTGCGAGACTATTCACAACGCTCAAAAATCAAGCTGAGAGCTGACTCGACACAAACATGATGCCATCCCTCATCGTTTTCTTAGAAAGTATAGTTTGCTATCTCTTTTTAATCTTCACCGATGGCAGACACGAAGGGACTGCTGCCAGCCGTTATGGAAGTTTTGGTTCCATTCGGGTGGAAAGCAAAAATCATTAAACGCAATCTCATCACAGTTTGGTGAGGTTTGAAGTTGGTGAGTTATTTTAGCTTGATATTCTGAGCTGCGATATAACATCTTGCAAAATCAACCGCAGATGTTGATTTTTGTCTACGAAAATCAAGCGTGATTTCGGGCATTGATGAGATTTTTTTTTTTATATTTTTTCAACACTGATCTCAATAACTTTTTCGAAGAGGCGTATCAGCTTTTGAAAAAAATGCCATCAGCTAGACGAAATTTCCCCTTACCTGATAGTGGTGTTAGTAAGCGTGGACGAACAACCAGTTACGCCAAAATCGACGATCAAATGCATTGTTTACAAAAGCTGATACGTCACTTCGAAAAAGTAATCGAGATTTTTATACGATGAAGAAAGTGACAGTTTTGCGTTGCACGCTAAAAATAATATCAGTATAAACTGGCATAATTCCGACACAGGGTTTTAGATCTACTCTCCGTCCTACTAAGGATAACCCATGCTTTACCCCTCTTTCTTGAACGGGTTTTAACGAAAAATGAATTGTTTCTATCAATTCCAGTCGGTGCCGCCGGGATGTTCTGAGGCATAACATCTCTGATCACGCCTTCCTTCGTATGGGAAGTAAAGCTGTTGGTCCCCGGTTCATGAGTTGATGGGTCGATAGGTAGGTAGGTGTGGGAGCTGCCTTCCTGGCACGTCGGTAGCATTGGTGCTCAGCACGGAAAACAAGATCGACGTAAAAAACAAACCAAAGGAAAAAAAATATCAAAGATTACTTCTAAATTTATTCCCCTTTCATTAAGTACCGTTGAATTTGATAAAGAGCCACACATTGTTGAGATATTGTTGAAAATCTAACACTGCTTCTTGATTCCAAATTCGTCCTACGAGTTTCAATTCCGTCCAATTACATTGAAACGCCATTGGATTTTCTTCGTCTTACAGGTGAAGGTAGAAAAAGCGTGTTTTGTAGGAGCGCTTCTTTTGTTTTGAGAACAATGAGTGTAAATATTCACACAATATGCTCTAATAGGCTTTGTGTTGTAGCATGTGAACTAACGCATCGGTACAAACGTATATCTGATTTGTGCATGGTGAAATCATTGATTATACTGATGTTTTCTGCTCGATAGAACGGAAATGGACGATTACGACGAAGTAGCGCTCTACCCTATCCATATTAACATATTAATCGATAATCTTAAAAGTTGATTAAGTCGGATGATGTTTGCTAGCGCCTGTTATTATTCATGACGAATCGTATTTATCCAAAATAAAGTTAAGTTTTCTTTGTTAGGGAAGCTTTCAGCCTGAGGCTGGTTCGCCTCTGGATTTATCCAAAATTTTGTATCGTACTTAAGAGACAAATTTGATCGAAATCGATTAAATGAAATGTAGAATGGATTAATTTCGTTCCCCTTTGGGGGTGGCACTATTGCCCCGTGTGAGGTTCATTTTTAAGAAGATGATTTTTGACCAATTATAGGGAATATTTACCTATTCTTTATTATTGATGTTTCAATTAATCATCATAAGTGATGTCTCAATGCAGGAACAGTATAAAAACAATATTTGGAAATTCGAAAATCTTTATTTTAAAGATGTCTAATTATTATTAATAATTTCGATTTTCAACACATCAGCTCAACATGATTTTTTGCAATTTCAATTTTGAACAGAACTTTCTATAATGCTGCATAGGAACACCATTCATAGTTTCATGGGTGAGTTAGCATGAGTATGAGCATGATTGACCGCCCACGGTTGCTACTCTGTTATTGCCAGACCAGCTGTAATTATACAGAGAACCAATAGACGATGCTTGGGACTAGCAATCATCCTCAATGTGTAAAAACTGGTGATCTCAAACTAGGCAATACCAGCGCCGACCGCGCCCTAACACAGGTCAAGAAAGGAAGGGGTAGGAATGTGTTGACGTGACACTCGCTTTGATGGAAGCCGAGAACACCACCTTCCACGAGGAATCACTGGGATATTGGGTAACAGGGTTGGGTTCGTTTTGGTAAACAATAAGCTGAATTGATGTCCTAACAATCATATATGGCGAAGGATCTTGGGATTGAACCTACGGTCTTCTGCTCAGTAAGCAAAAACGTTTGCCACAGCGCTGAGTTCCTGCAGTTTTTAGAAATTTCTCATACAACTGAGTAGAAGTGACTCTCTCTCTCTATATCTGAGTTATTCTCAGTGGAGGTGTACGTCAAAAATAGACCTTACAATTAGTTTGACATTTCGTTGTCATAATTGGTAGGGGTCATCCCAAATAAAATTTGTATGATTACGATGCATTCAGGGTATCATTCAAACCATTTGTGGAATAGTTCTATAATTTGGGTTATAAAGTGTGGTATTATTTTTATTAGTGATTCGAATGGAATATTAAGTGTTTTGTTAAATTTGAATTTATTTTCATTTCGCACTACAGCTCAGTTAGCAAACAAGCACTGTATTCCGGCGTTTGGAAAATTTCTTTGAGAGATTTAAGGATGTTTCAATATTTCAATATTTGAAGGATTTTTTTAGTGATTTAAGGCATTTGGTCAGGTGTTTTCTCACAATTTCATCGTGTTGACGTGCTTTTATAATAAGTTTTAATATTACTCAAGTGTTTCGATTACTATTTCAGGTAATTTCAGTACTATTTTGAAGTTTATAAGCCGTTTCAATGCCATTCTGTTATTGGTTTCCAGGCAATCCTGTAGTTTGAAGGCATTTTTTATGGTCATTTTAACCTTCAACATCCGTATTGGTGGGTCGCGAGCTTTTGGCATTTCTCATAGTGAGTCGCATTCGGAAAAGGTTTGAGAACTGCTGATATAATTAGTAAGCAGATGTTCTCCAGATGCACAAGAGTGTGCGTGAGACTGTTTCGGCGTTTAACTTTAGTGTTCGTGAGATCGTGCTTCGAGATCTCTCTTAACATAAATAAATATATTTCAGCATTGAAACTGCTTAAAGTAAAACCTGCTTTCGAATATGTTTTTCTGCACTGACTGATTCTGCAGCCATACATATTGGCATTTGTGTATAGAGATCTCCAAGCACAATCACACGAACACTTAAGTCCAACGTCAATATTTAAAAAAAAATAGGAAGAAGAACGCCCAGCTACTTTAAAAGCATCCCTACAGTCTCACGCCCACTCTTGTGCACCTAGAGAACTCTATTCTAACCAATTCATTTTTCATCTTTCAACCTTATTGTCTTTGATTTACGGGTTTCGGAACGACCCGAGGAAAGCTTTTTGCGCTTTAAAGGAGGTTTTCTCTTGGCTATCATTGAACGGACATTCGCAAGAGGCTCATTTTCATCGCTAAGAGCTTCATGACCTTCCGCAGATTCCGTTGTACTCTGATGTTCAGTAAGAATCTCCTCTTCAACTTCAGGGTATTCCTCTTGGACTTTGATGCCATTCTCAAGATCTTCCGAAGATGCTTCGACGTCCTTCGATTTACCATCATGGGGATGCTGTATGTGAAATTGAAAAAAAGTTAACGGTTAACCTTCAATGCTTTTAGGAGTTCGCAAATGAACTACATCAGCTTGAAAACATAGTTATACATACCTTATCAATATTATGATTATGTAGCTGACGACGTGTAGCAAACTTGATACCACATTTTCTGCATCGCATTTCTAAGCAGCTTTTCTCATGACGACGCAGAAAGCAAGTGAAATGAAACATCTTTTCACAAGCAGAGCATTTGTATCGTGGCTCTAAATGAGATGCGACCTGTAAAAAAAACACGTTTTATTTGTGCAATCTCTCAATCAAGAAATGCTTCAACAAACCATGTGATACTTCATTTTGGGTTTGGTCCCAAAGGTAAGTCCACAAACTGAGCACGACCATAATTGATCACCAGCTCCCACAAGGGATTCGTTTCGATCGCTGGTCTGATGTTCAGCAAGGATCTCGTCTTCATCTTCTAGGTATTCTTCTTTGACTTTGATTTCATTATCGGGATCTTCAGCATCTTCAGCTTCAACGTCCTTCGATTTATCACCGTGCGGATGCTGTATGGGAAGTTGAAATGAAGTTAATGGTGAGCTTTCACTGTATTTGTGAGTACGCAAATAAACTGGATCAGCCCGAGAATAGAGTCGATTGGTTTGGTAATTGAACCCTTTGCTCTCTGCATGACAAGCTTCGCGTAACCCCAGTATTGCTAGGCTATATTTGATTGTTCTAATGTTTACTGCTACTTATTGATGTAACTCTACTTCGGAAGTATACACTCAACGGTACATGTTCTGGTCATATCGCCGGATCTAGTAGTAGTACAAGGACCAGGAACTAGTGCTTCCAATAACCATGGCTCTATAGCACGATATTGAATATTTACTGAAAGTCAATTGGTTCCGGAGATATGATCGGAACATGTACCATTGAGTATATAGATTCAGGGTTTCTACTGAGATTGATTTTCAAAATGAATGTTTGGTATTCTCGGCATTTTGTCTCAAATACAGGGTGTTCGGCTCCTTAGTGCAAATAATTTAAGGGGCCTTAGAAGATCATATTTGAAGTAAAAAATTGTTCTACGCATATGATCAAATCTCAAAGATTACTGAGTTATTGAACTTTTTTCTGTTTTGGTCTATGCTTGCCATAAATTGGCTCTAACTCGAAAACTATGCCATTTAGCACAAAACTCTTGCCTCCATTGGACAGCTTGGTAAACTTCCTACTTAATTGTGACATTAAGTAAGCCGCATTTAGACACATTTTAGGGATAAATTAGTCTAATACATGTGTTTTCCTACGGGTTTTCCGTTATTATTTAAAAAAAAAATACGTTATAAAGTGAACTGTTTTGTCTAACTAAAAGATGCCTCTCAATGCGCTCTACAACTCTCTTTTTGACACCAATTTTCTATCTTGTTTAGTTTTGTCGCAATTTCGTACTAAACACATCATGTTGGGTCGTTAATTAACGGTTGCGTAAAACACGAATTCAACCCACCGTGCGTTGCTGTTGACGTCTGTTTGCAGCGCGCATAGCACACTTGATCGCCACGCGGAGTGACAGTCTGATAAGTGCGATAAGTGAGACCAAGAAGATAAATCAAAACAGAAACTTACAGCTTGCAGAAAACAAACATGTGTTCTCCAGAAGAGCTGGCGGATATTCATCTCTGCTACGGTTTTGCCAACTGTGTGGCAAAGACAGCCCAGCAAAAATATGGTCGCAGGTTCCCCAACCATCGACTGCCAAACGCAAGACAGGGAAGGGGGAGACTCCTCTCTCCGGAGAGTGCAGTCTTCGAGCGTCTGTTCATCATGGAGGTGCGGCTCAAAACGGCGTCTGTTCTCCATCAACTGATCAACGTCCAGGAGCCAGCGTGGGACTCTAAACAGTGATGTGCACGATGGTCCTTTGGCGAGACAATGGGGGTTGGTGCAGGTTGAAGGGCTAGCCGTAAAAAAAACTTAAGTACAGGACGCTAGCAACGTAAATACGGACCGGAACAATCGACTTAGACCCAGGCAACGAAAACGGACCAACGATTGGAAACTCGGAACATGGAACTGCAAGTCTCTCAATTTCTTCGGAAGTACCCGCATTCTTTTCGAATTATTGAGGGTCTGCAAGTTCTACATCGTAGCGCTGCAGGAGGTTTGCTGGAAAGGATCGTCGGTACATACGTATAGGGATGGTTTTACCATCTACCAGAGCTGCGGCAATACACATGAGCTGGGTACAGCTTTCATCGTCATGGGCGAAATGCAGAAGCGCGTGATTGAGTGGTGGCCAATCGATAGCAGAATGTGCAAGTTGAGGATTAAAGGCCGTTTCTTCAATGTCAACATAATCAACGTGCACAGCCCTCACGTAGCAAGTGACGATGACGATAAAGATGCTTTTTACGCGCAGCTGGAACGGGAATACGACAGCTGCCCAAGCCATGACGTCAAAATCGTCATCGGTGATCGCTCAGGTCGGCCAGGAGGAGGTTTTCAGACCGGTTATAGGAAAGTTCAGCGCTCACCAGTTAACGAACGCCAACGGCCTTAGACTCATCGATTTCGCCGCCTCTAAGAACATGGCCATACGTAATACCTACTTCCAACATAGCCTCCCATATCGTGTTGGACAATAACTAACCACAGCGGACAGGTTATGCAGCGGAGAACTACCGACGGAAGAACCAAGGAATCGACCGGAAAGACTTTTTCGGTAACCGCGTAATAAATGGTTAAAAGCGAACGATACGTTTACTAACTTTATCCACGGACGTTTTACAATGGAATGAAAATATATTGGTTTACTCTCTTGCTCTCGCCTCTCTTGCTGCCGCCCATAGATATGGGGATAGATGTAGTACTTTCTACACTGCTCCTCGACATCTTCAGCGGCTGCTGCTTCCGGTCAAACCAATCATCGTTGAAAGTTGCTGCTGCTTCACGTATCCCAAGGGCTTGGTTAAGATATCGGCGACCATAGATTCGGATGGGCAATAACGAATGGCCACCAAACCTTTCTCCGACAAATCTTTGGCGAAGAACATCCGCGTATCGATATGCTTTGAGCGCCTTGATGTACGGTCTATCGATACAAATTCGATGCAGCTGATGTTGTCCTCGAACACGACGGTAGGATCATCCTGCTTCATGCCGAAGTCTTCGAGCAGTTTTCGGAGCCACAGTAGTTCTTTGCAGGCCTCAGATAAGGCGATGTATTCGGCTTCCATGCTGGACAATGACACGCTAGTTTGATTGCGGCTTGCCCAGCAAATAGTTGCACTGCCGAGTTGGAACACATAACCGGTATTGGATTTACGGTCTGCTGTGTCACTACTCCAGTCAGCGTCACTGTATCCAACTAGCTTGAAGGGTTCATCGATGTTGCATGACAGCTTGAGCTTATAGTCGATCGTTTTCACGAGGTATCGGACCACCCTCTTTAACTCCAACCAATCCACTTCAGTCGGTTCGCTTATTCTTCGACTAAGAATCGACACGTTGGTCCAGCGCAAAGAACCCTTCATCATCTCGGCTCACACGAGTTCCCACAAAGTAGCTGATCTCTCCAAGTGACGACAATTTCACTTTCTTCTTCAGGTCACGCTCGACATGATCGATCTCCTCCTCAATTTCACTCGCATCGATTATATCATCGACGTAGATCAACAGGTAAATCCGAGGGGGCGACACATCTAAATCTCAATTCTAGATGCTCAAAAAATCTCACACTAGCGAATCAATCTTCGAAAAATCATCTTTCATTTTTCGCATCTACTTGCATCGTGCATCATCTTTTTGCAGGAAATCTTCAAAATCGACATAAATCTTCCTTTTATCTACTCAGCGTGCGTGCAGCTAGCCACAGCAAAACACAATCTTTTCTGCATCGTAGATAGTCGTCCCCCTCGGGTAAATCAGCTTTCCGGAAACACATTTAGTGAACAGGCAAGGGGATCAGCCCGTGATTGCTTGAATCCGATTTCTCCAAGAATAGCACAAATTGTTTCGTTCCACACCTTTGCACCTTGCTTCAATCCGTACAAGCTCCTTTGAAGTCGGCAAACCAGATTTTCTTCACCACTGCGCACGAATCCTTTGGGTTGCTGCATGTACAGCTCCTCTTTCAGTTGGCCATGCAAATATGCACTTTTGACGTCAAGATGGCGAGCGCCTTCATCTGTTTCTTGCCAGCAACTGTCAACAGGGTTTTCAGTGTGGTTTGAGTGGCGACTGGAGCAAATACGGCATCTTAGTCAACACCAAATTGCTGAGAGGAAACCCTGTGCGACTAGTCGGACTTTGAACTTGCTGATGTTCCCAGTGCTATCTTCCTTCTTCTTGAACACCCATTTGCTGCCTATAGCCCTACGCCCGGCCGGTAATTCAACTAGAGTCCACGTTTCATTTTGCGCCAGGGAATCATACTCTTCTTGCATGACTGCTTGCCACAAATCGCTTTCCGAACCTTTAACCGCTTCTTCATAGGACGACGGGTCTCCTTCGATGACCATCGCCACATCGACGATGTAATCCTTGAGCCGCTGCGGATGTACACCTCTGGTTGACCGCTTTTCACGACGCTGCATCCTATCACTAGCTTCATCCACTAATTCTTCATCCTCCCAGCCATAGAACTCGTCTTCAGATTCATCGCGATGTTCCGCCTCAGCAAACTCTTGTTGCTCCTCGTGTTCGCTAGGTTGTTGCTGAGGTAGCTCCTCGTGTCCAGTTGACTCCTCCTGAGATGAACTTCCGTTGATTGCTACATCCGTCCATCTAAAGTCCCCATAGCTCACCGTTGATTCGCCTTCTTCCGGTTCTAATCCTCGGGAACCATTTCGCTGCTCGATGAATTGAGCATCACGGATTATTGTGATTCTATCTGTCTCAGGATCCAAGAACCGATATGCTTTTCGGTCTTCGCAGTAGCCAACGAAAATTAGCTGTCGTGCCTTGGAGTCAAGTTTGGTCCTTTTGACGTCTGGGATGTGGACGTACGCAGGACTACCGAATATGCGGAAATGGCTTAGCATAGGTAGTTTCCTAAGCCATCTCTCGTACGGTGTGCTATTGACGGCACGCGAAGGGAGCCGATTATGTTTGTAAGCGGCGGTCATTATCGCTTCACCCTAATACTTTTTCGGAAGATTAGCGTCTAGTAGCATGCACGTTGCCATCTCCTGCAGCGTGCGGTTCTTGCGCTCCGCAACGCCATTCTGCTGCGGGGAATATGCTGCGGTGCCTGTATGTCCTCTTTCTCGTAGAACGTTCGAAGCTCGTTGTTCACGTATTCGCCTCCTCCATCTGATCTGATGACGCCCGAACCGAGTTTTGACGTGGGCTACATACCGCTTAATGCAACTAGCCACATCCGACTTCTGTTGTAACAGGCAAACCACGGTGTAACGGCTGAAGTCGTCGATCAACGTCATCAGGTACCGACATCCTCCTGGAGTGACGTTCGACATTGGTCCACAGACATCAGTATGAACCAGGTCAAGGATTCGGCTTGCTCTGCTATTAGAAATATTGGGGAATAAACAACGAG